GGTCTTTGTCTGTTGTTGATCTGCTGTTCGAGTGAAGTGGAACAGCACTAGAGCTGAGGATGATGACGTTTCACGAGAACACATTGAGAAACGACCACAGCAGTTTAATCAGATCTTCCAGTCAGATTGGAATTATTGGCGCCGTTATGGGAAAAGTAAGCGGTTAGATTAGCTGCTGCTCCTCTGCGCCTGATAACCAACATCTGAACACGGTTCTGTGTCTGACTGACGCCTCGTTTCTTCTCCTCAGCCGCCAACGTGCTCCTGTCAGAGCAGGGCGACGTGAAGCTGGCAGATTTCGGAGTTGCTGGACAGCTGACGGACACCCAGATCAAGAGGAACACATTTGTTGGCACGCCTTTCTGGATGGCTCCTGAGGTCATCAAACAGTCTGCGTACGACTTCAAGGTAGAAACACAGACGGGTGATATTAATGCTGCACATGAAGGAGATTTTATGCTATAAATTCATTGACAGATGAATTCAAAATTCATCTGTCAATGAGTAGTAGTAGTCTTTTAACCAGGGTTCGTACGGGTGCTGGAAATCCTTGAAAATGCTTGAATTTTGACGATGTGTTTTCAAGGTTTGAAAAGTGTTTATATTTTGGATGAACTGCTTGAAATTGTAACTAGTTCTTTCGCAACAAATCCCTATCTAACTGAATCGTGTGTTTATTAAATGGAGAAATAAAATGTTGGAGAGCTAGAAAATGAAACCTGCTCGCTTATGTGTGACTGCGATCTGCGTGACTCCGCCCCCATGAAACCACTACTTTGTTTACGCTAGTAACTGCTAGCTAGGAATTCACAGGCTAAGTTACTGAATGACTGAGAGTACGGTGTGATAAAGTAATGTTAGTATTGCAGTTTCCTGCAGCACTATCTTGGCGAGGCGGCCGCCTTGCCAAACTCACGCTACCGCCTCGCCAACGTTCCAAAAAAACAAACAAAAACGAAGTTTTAATTCATTGCCAGGCCCAGACCTTAAAACAGCATTGATAACTCTACGGCTGATAATACTGAATTGCGACACCCTCTGGTTGGTTATATTACTACGCCATGGCAGGCAGTCATCCGCGCAAGACTGGTTGCGGCCGACAATACTAAATAAACATTTTGACTATGTATTGGTATGTAATTTATGGTGCTGTAAGGTCCTGGAAAAAGTTTTAAAATGGATCTTGAAAGTGCTTGAAAAGTGCTTGATTTTGACTTTGGAAAAGGTGTACGAACCCTGTTTAACGCATCTCTGAATGTTTTTTTGTCTGAATTCTAGGCGGATATCTGGTCCCTGGGAATAACCGCCATCGAGCTGGCTAAAGGAGAACCGCCCAACTCAGAACTTCACCCCATGAGGGTCCTGTTCCTCATCCCCAAAAACCCTCCGCCCACGCTGGAAGGCCCCTACAGTAAACCCTTTAAAGAGTTTGTGGAGGCCTGCTTAAATAAAGACCCTCGTTTTGTAAGTAGGATAAAGACGGAGCTAATATTCCCAGAGTGTTCAGAGATCAGGCGTCCGGATGGTTGAACGCGTTCCTTCTGTCTGTGTTCCTGTTCTGCGCAGAGACCGACCGCTAAAGAGCTCCTGAAGCATAAGTTTATAACACGTCACACCAAGAAGACAAACTATCTGACGGAGCTGATAGACCGTTACCGCCGCTGGAAGTCTGAGGGACACGGGGAGGAGTCCAGCTCTGACGACTCGGACATGTCAGTTCCCCCTGAACGCTTTCATTCACAGCATCTTTATTCGTTCTGAATGGCTGCAGATTTAAACCCTTCAAGGATTAAAACAGGCTGCTTCCCTCTCTCCATCTTTGATCTCCGTCCTGCAGGGATGCTGATGGCGACGTTGAGCCGACCCCCATGTGGAACTTCCCCACCGTCAAATCTATAAACCAGTTACAGCAGGGCTACCCGCCACCAGATCCAGAGGTGAGACCCCCGACCAGCTGCACAGGCATCATGGTCGCCGGCTTTCCTACTGACGCATCTGTCCTCTGTTCAGTCAGGAGATCCTATGAAACGACAGCCCAAGTCCCAGTGCTTGTCTGCTTTGGTAACGCCCATTTTCAGAGAGGTAAGTTCAACTCATCCTGACAACCAAACGGGTTCTGCTCCCAAATCACCTCGTTAGCAACGGGTTCTGCTCCCAAATCACCTCGTTAGCAACGGGTTCTGCTTCCAAATCACCTCGTTAGC